ATCTCTGCCTTCTCTTGAAAATGCAACTGCAGCTGCATGTCTGATGCCCTTTGAAGGAGGCATGCCCCATGCTCCCTCCACTTCTCTATCACTTCCAACTGGCCCACTTCAGTCTCTCATCAGCCCATTCTTCTTTAAGCATCTGGGCATTTAAGTTGTAACCACTGTTCCAGAGAGAGGGTTATCCACCCTGTGACTGAACATCTCCACTAGGAGGGAAGAAGCTCACAGCTTTCTAAGTTGACCAATTTCACTGCAGGCAACACCAAGAGAGATTTGTCTAGAATAATTTTCGGACACTGGAACTAATCCTCAAGCAAAGTTAATCTATACTCTTTCACAGGACAACCGTCCAGATATCTGAAGACAACTAACCTTGCTAGGTTTTCCATTTTAATTTAACAACTACAAAGACCCCAAATACATCTCTTACTAAAATTTTTTCAATATTGTACTTAGGAAAAACATCTTAACTTCTGTGTCTCAGTTTCCTTATAAGTAAAATAAAAATAATAAAGGCATGCATATCTTAAGATGAAATTAAATAATTCATGCAAATCACATAGAACAGTATCAGGAGTTAGTGCTCAATAAAGTTAGACTGATGCCTTTACTATTATTATATTATCATTATTATTATTATTACCAACTATGTTTTCATCAACATAACCAACATTATTCACAAATTAATCAGATTAATATCTATTGCCACACAGTTTTGTGAATTAATATAGAACTAATATAAGAAATTGGTACAGCATAGGGAATCAATAAATGGTCATTACCATTACAAGTATTATTTTGTGGGAATTAAATGTTAGTACACTAAGGCATTAATATTGACACAAATGTTTGTTACAAGAGAATATGATAAAGTGATTGATAAAAATATGGATGTACTAACTCCCATAGAAACTCTCCCCTCAAGGTTGAAAATAACTTATTCATATAATTACATTCTTTTGGTATGGTTGTTCAACTACCTACAGATACAGTTAGCTATTAACTTAGAAAAAATATATAGAAAAATAATTTTAGCTGTTTGATCATTATATTTTTAGGATTAAGAGAACTCTATTTCCTAATGCCACAGTCTGTCTTCACTATGAATTTATCAATCTTCAGTACAGAGTTGAGGCATCTTTTGATAAGTGGTGGTTGAAAATGAAAACTAATGGTTTTTACACAGTTGTTTAAAATGTCATGAAGTTCATGAATGCCAGTAATTTTTCATGACTGACAGTTGTTATTATATAAATACACTTATAGAAAGTTTGATAATTTTCACAAATTAGGATAATATATCCTTTGAGTTCTTCTATTCTGAGTACAATCAATGCTCTTCATAAAACCTGCTTAAATATTGAATTTTTAAAATATCAACAGCCCATTGCATTTCTAAGACAGTAGATTCCTCATATAATTACATTCCACCTAAACATGTATCTAAATTATCATATTTTCTATTAATTCCACAAATAGGAGTACCATCTATTAAGATAAAAAATTAGGGGAGGGGAGGGGAGGGCAGATAGTAGAGGATAGGAAAGGCAGCAGAATACAACAGACACTAGTATGGCAATATGTAAATCAATGGGTGTGTAACTGATGTGATTCTGCAATCTGTATACGGGGTAAAAATGGGAGTTCATAACCCACTTGAATCAAAGTGTGAAATATGATATATCAAGAACTATGTAATGTTTTGAACAACCAACAATAAAAATTTTAAAAAAAAGATAAAAAATTAATTCCAAGACATTAAAAATGAAAAACTTAAAAATTTCTCTTATCATATTACCTAATAAATAAAAATATGATTAAATCTATAATGAAAAAAAAGGGAAAGACTACAACTCTGTTCAGTATTGATATAGGAAAGTAAGACATTATATATGCAGTTCAAATGAAATTCATTAGATGTCCTAATTAATCTACCACTATTTTTACCAAGATTCATTTTTAATTATCTCTGCAACACTATAAGATACAACTGGTTGTAAATGAAGAAAACTTATCTTCCAACTAGGAGGTTATTCCCAGCCTCTAGAAGGCAAGACCAGAACATGATACAGAACGAAGTATTACAGTCTCTGCTTCTTGTCTCCATTCACATCCTCATCATAACGGCATAACTATGAGATACTTTATTATTATTAATGATAGCACTTTATGCTTATTATTTCCAAACAAGAAAAAGTAAGTAGGTGAAGAGAAAAAAAGGTTTACCCATGGTTACACTGCTAGTATTTGACGGAGAGAACTCCAAAAAACAACTTCCAACTCCAAGTCTAGGACTCTTTCTTCTAACTGTGCTGTTATAATCCAAGTTAGGCAGTCAAAATTTACTGAGTTACCAAACAATTACAAATAAATAGTGGAGTTTACTGGAAGCAAAGAGCTCTTGCTGGAATGGAATCATCTGATTCCATTCCTATGACAACTCTAACAAACATAAATGACAAAAAACTTACTACAAACCTTTTTTTAAACATTTTTAATTTTTTGTGTAAATTACTTGAAAAATAATTATATTATTCTAATAAAAATAAAACTTTTAGAATTAAATCAGTTCCAAGTAACTCAATCACTCTGCTTATATCAGCATATTTTGATCTTATAAGTGAGCTGATTCTGAACAGGACCAAATCAGAAGGTATAGTCAGATAGAAGATATTTATTTTTGAGTTCTTTGAGTTCAGCATGCTATAGCACAACATGCCTTCCAATGTTTTTAGCAGCTCAATTCACAATAGAAAGTTATGGAACTACCCATCAATAGATGAATGAATAAAATATAAAATATATATTTTTGTCATTTGCTGGAATGGAATGGATAGAACTGGAAAACATCATGCTAAGTGAAATAAGTCAGTAAGTCAATGGTCAAATGTTTTCTATCACATGTAGAAGCTGAGAGAAAAAGAAATTTAAAAGGGGGATCTCATGAAAATAGAGTGGAGATGAGTAGAGTAGGGGTAGGTTATTAAGGGGGAAAGAGGAAGAGAGGGAAAGGGGAAGAACTGGAGAATAAAACTGACTAAATTATGCATATGATTGTATAAATATACCACAATGAATCCCACTTTTATGTACAATTATAATGCACTAAGGAAAAATATGTAAATAAATAGAAAGAACACCAGAAGTGTAGAAGAAAGGAGGAGGAGGAGGAATAAAAGGAGAAAGTGCTGGGGAATGAATTAGAGGAAAATTATGTTATGTGCATATATGAATAAGTGACAATGAACCCAACTACTGGAAAACCCAAATGTCGGAAAAATTTATACTTTATGAGACTAAATTCCTAGAATTTGAATAGATCATTCATAGCATGTGCACAACTTTAAACTTTGTAAAGTTAAAACATCAACCAGAAAGTGTCAGTTTCCTCACACTGTCAACACCACTTTTTAGTGCTTTTAAAATCTCTGCCAACTAGTTAGACAAAAACTGGTAATTCATCTTTTAAATCATCATTTCTATGTTAACTTTTAACATTTTAAGTGAATACATAATGAATTGAAAAGTTTCCTAACATGCTTGGCTTCAGATTTGATGCTGGTTATTTGAACCATGAAGCAGTACTCAAGATTCAAGCATTCACCCTGGGGGCACGTAGCTTACTATCAAGCACAATATCTTCTAGAATACCTTGCAAATCAAATTATACAGGACAAAGATACTTCCAGGCCAGCATCAGACACAGGCAGAAAGGATTAATGCCTGATTGCCAAATGGAACTGATTTAACAGATCCTGAGAAAGACCGCTTTATACCACCCTCCCCCCTGCCAAACCCCCCTCTTCCATTTTACTAGGATACTCAGAATTCAAGTATTAGAGATTTCTTCCCTTGTGCTCAAACAAATGGGATCCCACCAATTCTTTCAAAATTCAAGTGCTTGACTTAGTATGAGCTTCACATAATTATGGTGAATTCATAGAATGGAATGCCATGGAGCCATTAAAAAGAACTATGGAATTCTGCATTTACTGACAGAAATACATCCATGATATCCTTATTATAGCAAAAAACAACATGTATGATATGTGTGGAACAATATTTACTAAAATATTAATAGTTGCTATTTATCAAAGGGTACATGATAGATTTTCATGTATGTCCATATGTGTGTGTGTGCATATACACGGAAGTATGTGTGTGTTTGTTACTGAGGACTGAATCCAGGGACACTCTACCACCAAGATATCCCCAGTCCTTTTTTTTTTTTTTTTTGAGACAAGGTCTCACTAAGTTGCCAAGGCTGTCCTTGAAATTGCAATCTTCCAGCCTCAGCCTCCGTCACTGGGATTATAGGTGTGCTCCATTGTGCCCAGAATGGCAGATTCTTTTTACCCTTTCCATATATTGATATATTTCTCTATTGTTTATTATTTATAATGGATATATACAATTTCTATTACTAATAAGAAATATAATAAGGATACTGCATTTTGATAAAAAGAAACTGAAAATATCCCAGAAAACCACCAAGCTATTAGAAGCTTAATAAAATCCAGTTTAGTAAGTTTCTAAAGTCAAAGTTAAAATTTACCAAAAAATGAGATCTAGATCCTGTATACTTTCAAGTGGCTAAGGAAAAGAGCAAAAGGTAAACCAGGCCAAGAGTTCTCTGGTCGAGTATTAAGCCTCCTAGGAATAAGTGTGTATAATAATGAGGGAATTTCACTAAAGCAAAATCAGTAGGCAACAGAATATACCTGTGGTCTTTAAATAGAAGAGAAACCTGAAGTGTGAAGGCTCACTACAATCAAATAGACTCAGTGGATCTTAACTTTACCTTAAATCCTGTTTTTAATATTATACAAGAAAATACCTCCTTATAAATAGTGCTCACTCCTCCCCCTACAACAGACCTAGAACCCAATGGCAATTAACTTTTTTAAAAAACATATACATACATAAAACAGATTCAAATTTTTAAATTTATACTTCTCAAGACTGAAAAGGAGAACATGATGCACTGAACTACTCACCGCCACAGGAGGACATGTCTGTACACCAGCATATGTTCCTGGATGTGACACCATAGTCCCACTTTTTATTTGAAAATGCGTTTTGCACATGTAACCATCAGAACAGTCCTGTGCTCCATCACCATAGAATACAAAAGAAAAATTCAATTAATTTAAGAATTCATCACTCAAAGAGCTACAACTTCTCATAAGTTCAAAGCCAAGTAAAGAAAAGTATGTATATTGAATAAGACGAGATGAAACGAGTAAAAAAATCAGTCCAATATACCCTGCAGAGAGTAGATACTCAATAAATAAAAGTTTTATTCCCTTACCTTCTTCATGTATTAATGTACTCCCTTTTCCTGACTTAAACTGCTCCTCACTCCATCTCTCCCCATCCCACACACACACACTAGTAGCACTGAGGTCAGACAGCAAAACTTTAGCTTAGGAAATGTTAAAAAGCATTTAAACTTACAGAAATATCTTGTCACATAGTTAATATTATGTCCACAGCTTTTATAAAGAGAAATTTTCAGATGATTTGCAAAAGATCTGAAAGCTAGAAGAGACCTTGTATACCCATCTCTTCTTCAAGGCAAGATCTCTTTTAACTGTCCCAGGGAGGTAGGTAATTATGCAGCATCTGCCTGAGTGCTTCAGGGAACCTGCACTTTTTACTCCCTGACATATGACAGTTGCCTCCATTTCAGTACACTGTACAGGGAGAAAGGGTTATCTCATACTATATTGACTGTTTCCCTCTAAGTTACTAGTTCTAGTTCTGCCCTCTGGAATCTAAACCCTTTTCTACAGAACTTTTCTTCAAAGACTTAAAGACAATTGCCACCATTTTCATATATGCTTTGCAAGATGATTTCTGAGCCCCTCACAAGTTATATTTCTCTGCTGCTTTTCTTATGCTTGCTATTATATAGACTAATGGTTGATGTTTGTCTAAATGTAGCCTGTTTCATTGTTTAAGGCAAAACTTGCTTGAATTCAATAAAGTCATGTATAAGAATATAATACTTCCCCATGCACAAACATACTCACATGACAAGAAATATTAATTCTGCACAAAATTGTCACACCAACATTCATGTTTTAACAGGATTAAAATAATAAGTTAAATAAGAAGTGGCTACTTAATCCTTTTATAAGAAGGAGGAAATTTGGATACAGAGACACAAACACACAGAATTCCTAGAAAGTCCAAGGAAAATTGAGATTGGAGTGGTGTACCTACAATCCAAGGAATGCTGAGGATTTCTGGCAACCACCAGAAGCTAGGAAGAGGCAAGGGAGGAGTCTTCTCTAGAGCCTTCAGAGGCAGCATGATCCTTCCAGACCTCTAGCCTTCAGACTTATCAGAGAATATATTTCTGTTATTTTAATTCAGTCAGTATGTGGTATTTTTTATGGCATCCCTAGTAAAATAATATGGTCACCATATTTTTTAAGAGATTTGATGACACCTTAATAAACCCTCCCAGCAGATTGGCCTGACAACCTGCTAGCACTCACTTAGGGACCCTGCTGCTTGCGATCAGCACAAGTTCTGATTGACTGAATCCAACTCAAATTAGTTGATGCCTCTGTCACAAGTTATTAAATATCTTAACTATCACTCCTGTCTATGAGATATACTATCAGATATCCAATACTATCACTTTCAATTTTCTTATTAAGGTTACGCATTTCGTAGGTTCAAATTACTACTTTATGCTGCAGTTTCTATAGTATCCACCCTCAAAGCAAACCCTCTGATGGCCCTCTACCACTGAAACCTTTATATTTAGACAATGCAAATTTAATATTTAATATTTAATGGATTAAGTGGATAAAGATATATGTAGTGACTGTTTTTTTAGATAAATTCCATCTAAGGCTAATACATAGTGACTCTTTATCTTTTTAATTTTTTAGTTGTAAATGAACACAATAACTTTATTTTTTATTATTTTTTAAATTGTAGTTGGGCACAATAACTTTATTTTATTTATTTATTTATTGTTATGTGGTGCTGAGTATCAAACCCAGTGCCTCACATGCCAGGCAAGTGCTCTACCACTGAGCAACAACCCCAGGCCTATAGTGACTTTTATCATTGCTACTACTGTTTTACATCAAACATCTATTCCCCCTTCTTTTGGAAACCATTTTCCTCTAAGAACTTATTCTCTTCTCCATTGTTAGTGTAGACATGACCCCCAGCTCCAGGATGAATATAGGACTCTGATCTGGCCAATCAAGGCCTTAGCCTTTTTGACCACAGAGATGCAGGAGAGCAACTGATTTGAGCCAATATGGTATAATCCAGATTTGATTTGGGAATGTAGGGGGCGGGGGGAGGTCTATTTTCTTATCCAATGGATTTCAACAAGAACTTTTTTTGGTACCAGCGCTTGAACCCCAGGGGCACTTAACCACTGAGCCACATCCCTAGCCCGTGTGTGTGTGTGTGTGTGTGTGTATTTTTTTACATCCCTAGCCTGTGTGTGTGTCACACACGGGCTAGGGATGTAAAATATATATATATTTTATATATATTTATAAAATATATATAGAGAGACAGGGTCTTGCTAAGTTGCTTAGGGCCTCACTGATTTGCTAAGGCTAACTTTGAACTTGCAATCCTCCTGCCTCAGCCTCCTGAGCCACTGGAATTACAGGTGTGCACCACTGTGCCCAGCAATAAAAAATGTTAAAACCTTAGCAGCCATCATGTAATTAAATGGAAACTGAAAAAAAGTCAGTGTGGATGAATTCAAGGCCATGAGATGTGGAGAGACCAGATTCTAATTACACTATTCATACCACCATGCCCAAAGCTAGTTCTACCTTCAAATTTTCCCATTATAAGTTCCTTCCTTGCTTCACCCAATGAGTTCAGTTTTCTGTCATTTGAAAAAAAATAATCTTGTTTTTAAATGACATATTGTGTTTACAGTAGTTTAAAGATAGAAAAATTCTCCTCTATTGTATTGTCACCCTCATTATGATAGATAATCAATAGTTGATTATATGAAAGGTTTATCAACTACAATAAAACTAACAGTATGTGTTTGTGGCAATCTGCAATTTCCAAATGATCTAGGAATAGAGGAAGAAACAAAAACTCTTAGGTATTCAGAGAACAGTTAGAGCTAAACCATGTGTACTAAATATAATTATGAAATGAGACTAACTATTCTATTTTGTGTTATCTGCACACTGGTCATACAACCTCTTCTTAAGTGAATATGCAATTTAGTAAAACTAATTACAATGCAAAACACTTTTCCTTTGATCCAATCCAAGAGGGGAGACAAAAAATTCCTCTGTACCTGTTATAAAATCTAAAAACATTATCTTGTCTCTTTTCCAATGAGGTAAGATAAAGAGATATGTGATTTTCAATATTACTTATACTAATTTCCATTTTAGGTGATTTTTAAATCTATTGATTATTATCTATAGGGAGCACACAGGATTTTTGACTCAGTCTGTATTTATTTGGTAATGAAGATTTTTTAGCACCAATCTCTTAACAGGAATAGCCTTGAAAAATCAAACATAGAAAAAGGAGAGTGATAGAATACCTAGCATGCTAAAGGCCCTAAGTTCAAGCCCAGTACTGAAAAACAAAGAAGGAAAACATTATTAGAAAAAGGAGAGTTTTAGCATTTTTATTTCCCTTCAAATACTAATTTCCATATAAGAAGGTCTTTTTCCCATATTATTTTCATTTAAAGTAGAATAGTGGGTTTTGATCTTCACTGCCATAGGATGTTTTTGTAGAGACAACAACCAAATGTAAAAGCATGAGAACCATCACCCTAAGTCCACTCTTTGGTCCATCTAACCCAGTAAACAATGTTTAACTAAAATCTCCCCATCATACTAAAGTTTCCCCTGTCAGAATCAACAATCCTCTCTAGTTTATGTATTTACCATGGTTTACAATTTAACATTTGGCTCTTCTTTAATTTTTTAACATTTGTTAGTTTTATTTCCCCCACTAGATCATAAACTCAGGGCATAGGTCCCAGGACCTAAGGGAATCCAGGATCTTAACTGCAGAATTCAGACTGCCATAACACATAAAAACCTGATCCAAACAGAGCCTAAAAACATCCTGGATCAGCATGGGAGGATGTAAGAACAAAGGGAACCTCACAGTTTACCCAGTTCAACCCTCTCCTTTTACAGATAAGAGGGTGAAGGATTGAAGCACTTCTAAGAAACTTGTTTTTCAGCTAATTAGGGGCAGAGCTGGAAGTGGAAAGCAGGTCACTTGACCCAAGCATTCTTTCTAGTACACTAAGCAAATTCTGCCAGAGAGCAGGACCTTGGCAGGAGCATGCTTATTGACGCTGGACTGGGGTAGGTCAGTGCTTTTTGCTTCGACTAACAAGCTCAAGCCACTCAAGTGTGGTCTAGTGACCAGCAACCTCAACATCACCTGAGAGCTTATTAAACATGCAGAACCTCCAGCCCCACCCCAGACCTCCTGAACCTGTATTTAACAGGATCCCCCAGGTGGTTCCTGTGCACATTTGGAAGCACTGAGGCAGTTTATACTGAAATTCCTGACTGAAAGAGATTGCACATTGATTGCATTAGCGGTGGTTCTCAACCCTAGCTACTACACATTAGAATAGAACCTGGGGAGTTTTCAAAACGCTGTTGCTGGGGTCTCACCTCAAACCAATTAAGTGAAAATCTCCCCAGCAGATTCTATTGCAGTAGCTGAGAACCACTGTGCTAAATTCACTGGAGCTTGCCTTTTCCATTCAGAGAAGAACAGAGTCAATGAAGTAATCTCCAGCTGCCTTGGGAGAAAAGGCAACAACTCAAGATCTTCATGAACACCATCGCTCAGTTGGAGCTCTCCAAATGCTAAAAATCACCTCTGCTCATACTCACTGTGGAGCTTAGACTGTGCCAAAAGTGCCTTATAAGTGGTCTTTCCCCCAACACACATTTTTTATTGTTGCAGTATAGTTGTAAATACTTCTGGGATTTGTTGTTACATATTCACAAATGCACCCAATACACAATATACCAACACAATTTAGCCAGTATCACTCCCCAGCACTTCCCCTGTCCCTCCCCATTAAGTGGTCTTTACTACTACCTCAAACTCCATTTTCTGGCAACTTATCAAGCCTTGACCTACTCCTCTGCAACTACCATTAATCTTATAACTTAAAATTGTTCCATGTCCAACTACACTTCAGCTATCAGTATTCCTTACTGCCCATCTGCCAAAAATCAGTTTGCTTTACTCTGTCACTTGTAGAAGAGAAATTAATAGGAAATGTCCAGGTGCTATAACCATTAATAAAAAACATAATATTTCTTCATAGCCAAAATTCTTTCACTTATCTAAATAGAATGCCCTTCATCTTATTGCAAAATAAGGAGTAAAGATTTAAATGAGAAATATCACAAATGAACTAGATGAAAATCCTGGAGGATATATATATATATATATATATATACACACACACACACACACACACACACACATACACATACATACATACACACATATACATATGTAATAAACCTTTATAAATATGATAAAAACCCTGAAGAAAAAAGATCAATAAATTCTACAGTGAAAATAAAAATTCTTAACACCCATAAAACCAAAAGACAAATATCAAAATGTGAAAACAAAAGTTTTTACTTATATCATAGAAAGGAACTAATTTTCTCAAGATATATATAACTTTAAGATCCTCAAAATATAAATAGTTTCAAAAACTCAAAAAGAAAATGACTAACAATCCAATAGGAAAATGAGCAAAGGATGCACATATAGTTCACTAAAAAGTAAAAACATATGAATAAAATATGTTCAATAGTACCTACAAGAAAATGCAAATTCAAAACTATTGGTAACATTTTTGCTTATCTGATTGGCGAATATCAAAAAGTATAAAATTCTCTGTGTAGAGAAATATGTGAATAAAAGAGGTGCCCTCACACATTTCCAGGGGGCAGGGGAGTTTAAACTAGGATAACATCCCTAAAGAACATGTTGGCAATAACTATTAAAATTTAAAATGTACATACCTTGGATTCAGAATTGTTACTTCCAGGAATTTATCTTACAGAGCCATTTATACACATAGAAAATAAAATCCATGCAATAATATGTATGATGGTATTATTTTAATGGCATGAGAGTGGAAACAACCTAAATGTTCAACAACAATAATTGTTTACATAAATTATATCTAAATAATATACTGTTATGCAGCCACAAAAAATGAGTTTCATGTACAAATATGTATCATCAAATCCTACCATTACATACAACTATGATGTACTAATAAAAATGTGAAAAAAAGAAAAAAATGAATAAGTTCTGTAAGTATTGCATTGAATATGCTACCACTTATTTAAATATAAGTATATATGTTGTGTATGTCCTGCATGTATCTGAAAAGATACCCAAGACCCTTCTGTCAATGATAACTTCTGAGGATTTGGGTGGGAAGATTAAAAAGATTTCCTAATTTTTTTAAAGTGCAAACAATTTTGTGCTCATAAATAAAAAACACTTCTTTTTAAACAAATAATGTATTGCCCTTTGCACATATGTCTCCAGGGTATTACATTGCTGCAGTAGATCCCAATCTTAAATTTTTAGGGACAAATATCCTGTAGGCCTTATAGAACCCCAGAGAGACAAGCAAGTTTTATAGTGTAGTGCTGACTGCATTTTGGATGGAGATCTAAGGATTTCCTAACAGAACATGTTTGGGTCTGCTTTCTTCCAAGCTGTCATAGGGCTTGCCACCCAGTGAGAGTTATGTTATGCCTGCTAGAATCCAGCTACCCAAATAATTATGGGGCTGCTCTTGCTGAATTTTAATAGGCTTTCAAAGATCTTCTATACAAAAATGCTGTTATCTTAAAAAAAAAAAGTGGTTATCTAAAACTTTCAGCTTTACTTCTGAATAAAGCATTGAGTTAGGATTTAAACTGAAGTTAACTGTCCAGAATGACCAGCCAGAAAGGGCTTGCAAGGCCATCAGGGAGAAAGACAACTGAAGGTTCTAGGTCACAGGAGGCACTGATCAAAGAAGGCCTTGGAATTCAGTGGAGCTCTAAGAAACAGGTTAAACCTAGCACAGATTTAAAGTGATAGTTCTTTCCTGTTGTAAGAGATCAAACCAATATTACCAAGTAGCTGCCCAAAGGTGATTAACATTATGAGAAAGAAAGAAAAAGAGAAAGTGGGTGGGGGAGAGAAGGGGAGAGGAGAGGAAGGGAAAGGGAATGGAAAGAAAAAGAAAAAGAAAAAGTAAAAACTGCTGCTTAAAAGCAAAGCTTATGCTCGATAGGTCAGACATTAAATAATATCTCAGAGCCAGGCATGATGGCATACAACCGTAATCTCATCTATTCAGGAGGCTAAGGCAGAAGGATTTCAAGTTTGAGGTTAGTCTGGGCAGCTTAGCAAGACCCTGTCTCAAATTTAAAAAAGGGCTGGAGATGTAGCTCAAAGATAGAATGCTCCTATATGGGGAGAGGAGACTGATATCTGTACATTTTTTAAAGCCAAAGTTAAATAATGGAAAAATAATTATTATGATTTAGAGGATCCTTCAAATCACAATTCTGAATATATTAATATGTCTTATCCTCCACACCCACCCCAATACCCACCCAATCCCAACAGTACTGGTTTCATTTTCTGATAGTGTCACATCTTCCAAATGGATGTGTGGGTCCATTCATGGTTGACTGATGTCTCTGCTAAAATACACATAGGCAAGTTAATACAGAGTGATCAGATCCAGTCGAAGTAGTTCATGGGTGTTATGGTTTGAATTTGAAATGTCCCCCAAAGGCCATGAGCTAAAGGCTTGGTTGCCAGTGTGTAGTGCTACTGGGAGGTGGTGGAAATTTTAACAGGTGGGGCCTAGTTGGAGAAAGTAGGTCACTGTGGAGGCATGCTGTAATAGAGTATTTCAGAACTGTGGCTGCTTTCTCTGTCTCTCTTTTTGCTTCCCAGCTGCTAAGATGTGAGTAGCTTTGCTCTACCATGCCTTCTCCACCAAGATATTTGGCCTTGCCTCAGATCCAAAGGGACTGTAAGTCAAAATAAATCTTTTCTTTCTTTAAGTTGATTTTCCAGGCATTTTGTCACAGTTATAGGAAGCTGACTAACAATGGAAGTAAAAAACAGTGACACATAACTGTAACCCCAGCTACTCTAGAGGCTTAGACAAGAGAACCATAAGTTCAAGGCCAGCCTCAGAAATTTAGTGAGACCCTAATTCAAAGTTAAAAATTAAAGAGCTAGGTCAGTAGTAAGATATCCCTAGGTTCAATCCCCAGTACCAAAACACACACACACACACAATAGGTAACTGCTGACTTCTGGTTCACTTAGATGAAACCTCAAAAGCAAATAAACTCAAGAATCCAAATACCCAAAAGTGAAAGAAAAGGAGGATATAGCATAATGCATGTTTGAAAAGATCTTTTCTATCTCCAACTTTCCCCTGGCCCTAGTCCTGTAGTATTTTGAGGTTTATTAAACATACCATAGTCATTAAATAATCCACCAATACCTCAGAACTTTCCAGGGTGCAGTGTTGAAGATACACCTCAGATAATAAGTTCCATCTGAAGAAGTCGGGCATGTCCTGTGATCTTGTGTATGTGTTCAGTTTACTAAAGACAGATATTCCCCTTGCTTCACCAGCTGTGTAAAATAACCCATAATTATTGCTTTTATTTGTGTAATCTAACTTTTTGAATCCCTATTGAACCCATTTGTTCACTAACTGGGAATTAAACCACACTACCCCCCCCCACACACACACACACACAAATCATGATAATTGAACCTTGATAGAAGTTCTCTGCCTCTGCCCAGTTTAAAAGAGTTATCAGCATGGTCATGGTATGAAACTAACAGAATTTGTAGAATTTTGACATGAAGTAGTCTCTGTCCAGTGTGACAAAATATGATCCTGTTTCTATCCCAATTTGTAATGCTGCCATGAATCATATTTACATAAGCTGACTCATTACATGTTTGTCTTAGGTTTAAATTTCTAATAAACCTATAAATAAAGCACTAGGACTAAATTAGAGTCACTGAGCAGAATCAAATATTATAAATCCTGACAATATAAAAATAACAATATAGGGCTGAGGCTGGGGCTCAGTGGTAGAGCATTCGTCTCGCATACGTGGGGCCCTGGATTTGATCTTCAGCACCACATAAATAAAATAAAGATATTGTGTCCACCTACAATTAAAATAAAATATTTAATAATAATAATATAATCAAAAAGCTGGGAAAAAGAAAAAGAAGGAAGTGGGGGTAGCATAAGTACACTAACTACCTCAATATCACAAAAGCAATCAGTTATTATCCATAGATGGGAAATCAAAAAGAAGTATATTACTTAAAGTTATAGGTGTAACTATGAACATAAGGAATTATTTATCAATAGGTGTTCCATTAATCAAAACAATTCATACGATGTATTATTATGCAGCTATTAGAAATAATGAGATAATTGTGTATATACTCACAAAGAAAGAGGTCAATGATGTAATGTTAGGTGGAAAAAGTAGGTTGCACACTATATGACCTAGCTATCCCACTCCTCAGTATTTATCCAAAAGAACTAAAACCAGGGACTGGGGTTGTGGCTCAGTGGCACAGCACTTGCCTAGCATGCGTGAGGTACTTGGTTCGATCCCCGGCACCACATAAAAATAAACAAATAAAATAAAGGTATTGTATCCATGTATAACTAAAAAAAATTTTTAAAAAAAAGAACTAAAATCAATATTCTGGAGTGATACAGCACATCAACGTTTAAAGCAGCACAATTCACAATAGCCAAGTTTTGGAACCAGCCCAGGTGCCTTTCAAGAGATGACTAGATTAAGAAAATGTTGTATATACACACAATGGAGTTTTACTCAGTCCTAAAGAAGAATGAAATTATAGCATTTTCTGATAAATGGATGGAAGTGGATAACATCATGCTAAGTGAAATAATATCAGACTCAGAAAATCAAGGGTCTAATGGTTTTCTCATATGTAGAGCAAAGTTAGAAGAAACAAGGGGGAGGGATCAGATATCATTAGGATAAAGGAAACATCAGTGGAGTAGAGGAAAAAGGAGACTGAGGGGCAAGAAAGGGTTACAGGAAAGGGAAGGAAGTGCAGAATGAATTTGATAATAATACACATGTGCATGTATAAATATACCACAGTGAATTCCACTTTTAAAAAAATCTTTTTGTAGTAGTAAATAGACAACATGCCTCTATTTTGTTTGTTTATTCTTATGCAGTGCTAAGGACTGAACCCAGTGCCCCACAAAATGCAATGAAAGTGCTCTGCCACTGAGATATAGCCTCAACTTGAATTCTACTTTTATGTATATATATGTATGTGATCATTGTTCTATAACTTTTCTTTTTTCAATAATTTTAAAATTGGTGCTATATATTTTTTTAATTATTGAAAAAAGAAAAAGTAGGTTATAGAGCAATGATCACATTTATGTAAATGTATATATAAATTTATATATGTATATTTGCATATAATTAGGTCAGCAGGAGGAGGGAGAAGGAAAAATCTTGACATTTATTTTATACATCTAAATACTGTTAGAATTTTTATAGTGATTGTGTATTGTTTTTTTCTTGTAATAATTAAATAAAATAAAGTAAAATAAAGACTCAACCCAGAAAAGAAAAAGTAATAGTGCACTAGGGATACTGAGATCCAGGTCAAGAGTAAGAAAAATTCATTAAAACTTCCATTCCACTCTGTGATCAATATGATTCTAAGAACCACGAAACATTCTGGCAAACAAAGCTAATTTTGTTTTTATTTTCTTTCCTTTGTGGAACTAACCCTCTAGGTGCTAAACCAAAATGAGGCCAATACTTCTTCCTTAGGTTAGTACCTAATTATAGCATACCTTCACTTTGTTTTTCAAGTAGACATTGTTTGATGCCACTTAGGATTTTCAATTTTCAATTCCACTCAATAAAGCCATGCTGAGAACCCTAGCACTGTGCTCATTTGTATAAGAAGTTAGTTTTCTTACAATATTCCTGGCACCCTTTTCCTGGCAGGACTCTCAGACCTGCAGGCAGAGTCTCCCTTCCTTTCACCTCCAGCTACTTCCTGACTTCCTTGATGAGCAGTAGAACATAGCCTTCTCCAGTTCCCAGATGCAGGTCAGAGCACAGCAAGGTCAGTGGCTCCAGGGGAAAAGTAGCAGAAGAAAATGAGCCCCCTGTCAGGGCAGAAAAGGTCACTGAAGGCAATTTGGTGACCTTATTAGAGGGGGAAGTATACATGCATGTGTGTTTACATATATTGTACTCTCATAGCCTGCTTATCTTACACAAGTTTTTAAACAATGATTACAGTTTAAATAATGCTAAATCCTTTCCCCTTCTTGGAGTCAAAGCACTAAAAGTAAGTTTAATATATAATGAGGTCTCATTTTCCTTATTAACACTTTCACCAGATAGTTCTACAATGTTAGATTTCACTATTAAGCAGTTTCTTTTTTTCTTTTATTTTTTAATAATATTTTGTTTTCAGGTTTTCCAACTTGCCCATTTTGAGTTTTCAATTTTCAGTTCATAGATGTGGGACCTCCATGTGTGCCCTCATACTTTTTATTATATTAAACAATTTGGTTTGGGCTCCCAGAGCATTCTTGCTTATTTGTGCCAGAGGAATGGCCAACAGATGTTATAACTGATTGGAGGGGATGTGGGGAGCCTGCTGTAGAAAACCAATTCTTTTCTCTTTTTGTTCCTTCTTACAATTTAAGTTTGTAGAAACTTTACCATATTTCTTCTGTTTACTCTCATTGAAATGTTTTCAAAGATTTAGTTTTGCTTTTCCAATACCAGATTTTTTTTTAAAAAAGTAAAAAAACATGCAGATGACTCAAGTTTTGGCCTTCCCCATCCTCTGGATTTTAGAGTTATTCCAAATTGTATTTCTTTCACAAACAAATTATTGCTTTTTAAAGCACAGGCTGTGATGAGAGAATTGACAAATTAATATAATTTTATAATTCATTAAATTGAAACAAATTTGATAATACTAATGGTAGAAAAATAATCAGGATAGCAAATTGTCATTTTGATTTCAAAATGCTATCCTTGCAAAGCAGTACAAATAATTTTTAAACCTTCCCTTTTAATAAAATGAAAGGTACCTGAGCTTAAACAGTTTAACTCCTAAGAAAAGGGTTAGAAGAAAGACAGAGGAGGTAAGAAAGGGCTCTCTGGGATGGGCACCATAAAAGCTAGAAGTCCAATACCTATGTATTGGCAAGCACGTGCTCTCTCTTTAGGCCCTCTAGCTTTTATGGTGCCCATCCCAGAGAGCCCTTTCTTACCTCCTCTGTCCTTCTTCATTTACCCTTACTAGATTCTTGTTGTGGAAAACCTACAGACACATCACTCTAATCTCACCCTGTGTTTACATGGCCTTTTCCCTTGTATGTCTGTGTCTCTATGCCCAAATTTCCCTCCTCTTATGAAGACACCAGTCATAGAAAATTTAGGACCAGTCCTAATCCACTGTGACCTCATCTTAACTCAATCCCATCTACAAAAGTCCCATTTCCTAGCAATACTTAAAAAAGTGTTATACAGATCTAATGCAATTCCTATTAAAATTCAAATGACATTCTTCATAGAAATAGAAAAAGCAATCATAAAATGCATTTGGAAAAATAAGAGATCCAAAATAGCCAAAGCAATCTTTAGCAAGAAGAGTGAAGCAGGAGGCATCATAACACCAGACCTTAAATTATACTACAGGGCCATAGTAACAAAAATGGCATGGTATTGGCACCAAAATAGACATATAGACCAATGGTATAGAATAGAAGACCCAGAGACAAACCCATATAAGTATGATTACCTCATACTAGACAAAGGCACCAAAAATACATTGGAGAAAAGATAGCCTATTCAAGAAATGGTGCTGGGAAAACTGGAAGTCCATATGTAGCAAAATAAAGTTAAATCTCTATCACTCAGCCTGTATAAAATTCAACTCAAAGTGGATCAAAGACTTAGGCACTAGAACAGAGACCCTTCACCTAATAAAAAAAGTAGCCACACATCTTTATCATGTTGGCTTAGGACATGACTTCCTTAACAAGACTCCTAAACTGCAAGAAGTAAAAATCAAGAATCAATAAATGGGACAAATTCAAACTAAAAAGCTTCTTCTCAGCAAAGGAAACAATCAATAATGTGAAAAGAGAGCCTACAGAATGGGAGAAAATCTTTACTACACACACATCAGATACAGCACTAATCTCCAGGACATATAAAGAACTCAAAACACTTAACACCAAAAACAAAACAAAACAAATAAACAAACAAACAAAAAAAAAATCAATAAATGGGCTAAGGAACTAAACAGACACTTCACAGAAGAAGAAATACAATCAATCAACAAATATATGAAAAAATGTTTAACATCTCTAGCAATTAGAGAAATGCAAATAAAAACTACTCTAACAGTAGTTTCTCACTCCTGTCAGAATGGCAATTATCAAGACTAGAAGCAATAATAAGTGTTGGCGAGGATGTGTGAGGAAAGGTACACACAAACATTGCTGGTGGGACTGCAAATTGGTTCAACCACTATAGAAAGCAGTATGGAGATTTCTCAGAAAACATGGA